CTAGTCCTGGTTGGGGCTCTGGATTCTGTCCCGGTTGCTCCTCTTCCAGTCCAGCTCTCTGCTGTGGCCCGGGAGTGCAGTGGAGGGTGGCCCAAGTGCTTGGGCCCTGCACCCGCATGGGAGACAGGAGGAAGCACCTGGCTCTTGGCTTCGGATCGGTGCAGCGCGCCGGCTGCAACGCGCTGGCCCAGCAGCCACTTATGGGGGTGAACCAACGGAAAAGTAAGACTTTTTCCCTGTCTCTCTCTCTCTCACTGTCTAACTCTGCCTGTCAAAAACAAACAAAAACAAAAAACAGATATGCTAGCTCCAGCATCCACCCAGAAAGAGATGCGCTGGCCAGACACTGTCTCTGTCAGCCTTGGGTCCGTGGACCCGTCCACAACGGGGGCTGTGGAACCTGGGCCTCCTCATTCTGTTACGTTTAACAGAGATGAGATGTCCTGTTTCAGAGCTGGCGGAACAGAGGGCTGTCTCGGGGCAGGGCAGGGCATCTGACAGTGACCTGATGTCTGCAGCTGGGACATGGTTGGGTGGGAGGCCTCCAGTTGAGGCAAGCCTTGGCCCTATGCCCAATACCGCCGCATGGCAAACAGGCTCCAAGGGCTGGGGTCTGGTGCATTACAGAGGCAAGCTTCTCATACTTTAATTTTAATTCAAGCTTTGGGTCCTGGTCCTTATCATTCAAGACATGAAAAGCTGCATTCCTGAGGTCCTTCTGGGGGGTTGCGGACTGTCCGCCAGGTTTCGTTTATGCCAGATGTCTGGGGCCAGTCTGGATATGTGCTGGAGACGTAAGAACAACATCTCAGGAGCTGGGGTCCCTGTTGGCGTGTTTCTCCACTGTGTCTGTGAGATGGGACATAACAAGTGCAGAGTTTTCTCCCGTGATTTCATGAAGCTCCTCGTAGTTGGCCTGCTGATGGCGATTTTTATCCATAGCCAACGACAAGCAGGAAATCATGTGGTCTCAGGTTGGTAGGTCCGATCCAGGCAGGGGTAGCCCCGGGTGCCACCCATCTACGTGCTGCTGGACAGCGTGCCAAAGGCGCTCCCGTTCCCCCAGTTAGCGTGGAGGACAGAGCAGGATAGAGGCCCGCAGGCAATGAAACCTACTCCAGCTGCCTCCCATGAAAGGGGGGCTGGCTGGGGCTGTTGGCCTTGGGAGCGAGTCAGAGGAAGGGAGGGAGCCAGGGGAGCCCCACATGGAGGCTCCAGAGGGCCCGGAAGTCGATATGGTGGTGGTTCATCCTGTTGGCAGAGGGGATGTGGTGAGCAAGGCAAGGGGTCTTTCTCCATGGGAACAGCCAGGTCAGGATCACAGAGAAAGGAGACAATGGGGCCGAGGGTTTCAGGCCCCCTCCCTCCACAAGGAGGACTTGACTACAAAGGGAAGGGAGAGTCTGGAGGAGAAAGGCCTGGCACAAGGGACCTCTGCCCATTGGCCGTTTCTCTGTGTAAAGTTGTGAGGGTCATGGACAATGTGCAAAGTGAAAGTCCCAGGTTCTGGCCACTGGGAATCATTATCCAATTTATACTGAGGCCAAGATGTAGTGCAGAAGAAAAGAAAGTGTTTTGGTCTTACCTCCCCTTTCAGGCCCAAGGCCCACAAGTTTTTTAGGAGATAGCCCAGGGGTAGGTTGGGAAGAAATGGAGAAATTTCAGAACCCGTGGAGTATGCAGAATAAGGCCAGGGTTGGAGCCAGTGCTGTGACGTAGTGGGTTAGGCCACTGCCTGTGGCACCGGCATCCCATATAGGTACTAACTCAAGTCCCAGCTGCTCCTCTTGGGATCCACTTCCCTGTAGTGGCCTGAGAAAGCAGCAAATGATGGCCCAAGTGCTTGGGCCCCTGCACCCATGTGAGAGACCCAAAGGAAGCTCCTGGTTTCAATCTGGCCTAGCCCTGGCCATTGTGGCCATTTCGGGAGTGAACCAGTGGATGGAAGATCTCTCTCCCTCTCTGTTCCTCTTTTTCTCTGTAATTCTTTCAAAATAAATAAATCTTACAAAAAAAGAAAGAAAGGAAAAGAAAAAATAAGGTCAAGGTTGGGCCCTCACCTTGCTCCAGGGTATCCCTGGGGGGCAGTCAACCGCACCCAGAATCTGCTCCCAGAGCAGAGAGAAGCCCAACGTTCAGGACAGGGGTCCCTAGCCCAGGATGTGGGACAAGTTCCTGCAAGACCTTCTTTTCATCCGTCCAAGGGATGAAAAGGCGAGGGAACAGCCGCTACTCCAGACCCTCCAAGGGGAGGGCGCCTTGGAGAGATGGAGGCCGACTTCTTACCACTCCGTGGGTTTAGAAATCAAGTCTGGTGTGGCACGTGAGAGAGCCAGCAGGAGGTCTCTGGCTGAAGTCCATATGAGAGCAGAAAGATGAGAAGGCACGGGTGCATTTAATGAGGTTGGTTGGAGAAGAAGAGGGAGAATTAAAAAGAGGGAACAGAGGGGGAGAGACTGGGGGAGTGTGGCTGGGGGTCTGCCCCAGGGACTAAGGGCACCTCTGAGAGCCAGAGGGTCACAGCTTACTCGCTGTCCTCACCCCCAGGTTGCTGGAGAGAGGGAGGAAAGACAAGGGCCAGGGGAGGAGCCACAGTCTCCACCCAGAAGGTGCCAGAGCCCTTGGCATCAGGCATGTCGGTAAAAAGCCCGGAGCAGGTGGAGGGAGAGTAGCAAGGTCTTTTGGGAGCAGGTTCTCCCACGATTGCCTACAAGCCGTAGGAGCCGAGGGGCGACAATGGGTGAGGGGAACGGTTTCTGGAATCTGTCCTGGGGTTCTGCAGCACCTGCTAGGGGATAGGAAATGGGACAAAGAGGAGACACAGCCACAAACTCAACAGCCAGGGGCCTGGCAGGGAGAGAGAGCGCACAGTGGTGAGCCCGGGTCTCTTATAGACTGGGGCTTGCATAGGTAAGGCAGCGGAGGGTTGTTGAGTGGGCAGGAGTTAGGCGGGCTGAGCTGGTTTGTGCGGGTACAGCTGAGGTGAGGCTGAGCCGGCCGAGGACGATTGCAGGGGGTTGGGAAGTTCCCGTGGAGCGGGGGCTTGGGATCTGCTCTCAGGCAAGGAACTGAAAAGGGAGGTGTTTAGGTCAGCTTTCCTTCTCGCTGCTGTGCTCGACTTGCCCCGCTGCGGTGCTGGTGGGGCTGCCTGAGCTGGCGTGTGTAGATGTGCCAGGTGCTCTGCCGTCGTAAGGTGCCAGTGTTCTCTGGTTCTTTTAGAAAGACCCGTATTTCTATGAGCACACAGAAAGGCATAGGATCGGCGCTTGTAATTCTATTTGTCTCCATTACTCAGAAAACTACAGAATCTTTTTCTTCCAGTCTTTTTGTTTTTGCCTATATGCAAAATCTTCATATTCTGCCGTCGGTAACAACGTGTAACAAGCAGGACTCCCGGGAGAGACATCAAACTGACTTTTCCTTGCGACTTAAGTCAAAGTTTCAAATTTTATTACTAATTAATTAATGTTGCTGCTATAAGGGGAAATAGCTTTAGGATCGAGCTACAGTTAGTCTACAAGGCACCTTCATGTGAATACTTTATAATAAAGTCGTCTTTGGACAGGCAACTACTAAAGCTGTCCCTTCTGGTCAGACGGTATCCCCAGAAAAGGGTTTGGTGAACTGAGGTCTGGTGAACTTGAGCCCCATTTGGCTTAGCACAGACCACTCAACAGGACAGCATAACTTCTGCATCCATAGCTTATGTGGGATCATAATTGACTTTTCTTCTGTATCCTTTCCTTTATAAAATGCCCAAAGAAGTGTGCTTAATGATGCATTTTTAAAACTCACAAAAATAAAACAATGTGCAAATCTTACTATTGCTTATCTTGATTTCTAGTTCTGCTTTTCCTTCCTGTGACTTTTATTCCTAGGTAATAAAGACTAAGCCGTCACACGTTTTTAGCGCACCCCCTTTCCTAGTTGAAGGACTAGCCCCCCCAACCCACCCCATCCCAAGTAAATCTTGGGAAAATGAAAACTTCAGCAGGGTCCTCCTGTGCTCACAGGTCCCTGGACAGCAGTAGGCGATCCCGGGACCCTAGGGTTTGAGGTTCTCGAGAATATGCAAATATTCGTGGGGGACCCAGAGTGCACCTTGGGCTGAGCTCTTGTGCGCCCATCCTCCTCAGTGGCCCTGGGCGCTAAGACAAAGACACCCACGGGCTGCAGACGGCCCAGGCTGAGTGAAGCCAGCTCCTGCCAGACAACCGCAGAACGCGTGGTCCAGGCCAGGGTAATCCCCGTGACCCCCAGCCAGGGAGTGGATCCTGGGAAATTCTGGCACAGGGCAGGCGGGAGGGCGGTCCGGGCGAGATGAATGGGGCCGAACAGGCTTTGGTGGAGAGAACGCGGGAGCCGCCGCGCACGGCAGCCCCGCCGACTCCCCAGGGTGGAGGGGCCGGGCTCAGTCAGGGCTCAGCTGCCCCCGCGAGCTTCCCGGTCCCGGGGAAGGGCTCCCTCCTGCCTTCCGCTCGGATGGACCTCGGCCCGGTGCGGCCCTGGCTACGCGGAGAGCGACACCGCGAGGAACCAGGGGTGCCCGCGGGCAGACTCAGGAGGGCGGGGTCCAGCGGACAGGCACAGAAGCAGCCCGGAGAGCCGCCAACCGGGGTCTAACGGGATATGGGGAGGGGGCGTCCAGTACAGCAGAGAGCCAGGGGCTCTCGTCCGGCGACGGATGAGGCACGCAGAGGAGCCAGAGTCCAGGCGAGCGCAGGGGCTGCATCCACTCGGGTTCCGCGCAAGTGGGCAGGGGATCTTCTCGCAGGAAAAGCGCAAAAAAAAAAAAAAAAAAAAAAAAAAAAGTGGAAAGGGTGGCCGGGGCGATGGGGTGCGCGGGGCGTCGCCGCCGGACGTCCCCCCCGGGAGCCGGCCGCGCTCCGGGGACCAGCCGCAGAGCCTCGCCCTCCGCTCACGGTGCCCCTCCCAGGCGCCCCCTCCCCGCCGCGCGGGGCCGAGCAGCGGAGCCGCAAACCAGCGCGGGGCGCGGGGTGCGGGCCGGGCTGGCCATGGCGCTGGCGGCGGGCGCGCGGGGCCGGGCCGGGCGGTGCGGGCGGTGCGGGCCGGGCGCGCTCCTCGCCTTCGCCGCGTGGACCGCGGGCTGGGTGCTGGCGGCCGCGCTGCTGCTCCGCGCGCACCCGGGCGTCCTTTCCGAGCGCTGCACGGACGAGAAGAGCCGGCGCATCTTGGCCGCGCTGGTAGGTCCCGGCGCCACTCAGCCCCGCGCTGCGCCCCCGGGAGGGGTCGCGCGCGCTCCCTGGGTCCCCGGAACGCACCCAGGACCCAGGCGGCGAGGGTAGCCACCGGGGGAGGGGTCTCGACGCGCGCGTGGAGTGCAGGAGGCGCACGGCCAGATCTCCCTAACGGGTGTCGGCGGGGGAGTCCTCTGTGCGCGCGCGACGGGGCTTCTCTCCCCTTGTTGCCCAAACCAGTCCTTTGTCCCAAGGCGGTCTTCCTGCCCGACCGTCCCCCGCCACCCCGGAGCTTGCGCTCCTGCAAAAGTTTGAGGTCGGATCGGGGTCTCGGGCGCCGGCGTCCAGTGCTTGGCGGCCAGCGGGGACCACGCCCCTGTCTCTCCAGCCGACCCGCGCGCTTTTGCCCGGCCGCTGTCCAGCGACTGCACCCCGGGGGCCGCCGGGTCACCCCATCCCGCCCAGCCCGAGGCAGACGCTACAAGCCCCCCGCCCTTCTGCGCCCCAAAGCCGAGACTCCGCGATCTGTGGGAACCGAGGTGGAGCGCGCGCGGTCGGCGGAGCCCTGCGAGCCCCGGCCCGGGTCCCCGACAACCTGGAGGCCGGGAGCTCGTGGGAGCAGCTCCCAGGCTGGGCCGGGCAGGTAGAAGTGGTGAGAGAGACGCGGGGCTCTGCGGTCCGCGGCCCCTTCTCCCCAGTCTGCTCCGTGGCCATGCGGCTCGGTGCGTGGGAGGCCTGAGCACAGGCCGGCCGGAATTCCTAGGGGGAAATCCAAGAAGGGCAAAGGTCCTGGTGGAAGATGTCCTGAAACGGACCAGCCAGGCCTGTGGCCTGAAAGGGATCTGTTTGCTACGCGTCTCCAGGAATCCCGCGCATCCGCGGGCTTCTTGGCACTGCGGATTTTCAAGTCAGCGGAGCAGAAAGATATTCAAAGGCAATGACCGTTGAAAAGTGAGACTGGAAAACTTAATGATAGTGAGGAAGAAATGGTAGCCAAACGCACAAGCTGGACAAGGTGTGTCCCGCTGGTGAATCCGACAGGTGCGGCTGAATTGCCCCTGTGTGGGCGGGAAGTTCCTCCCCCGCGCCACCCCCACCCCACTGTGACACCGCAGCTCCATCCGTTGTAACTGGCAAGAGCCCCTTGCTTCTCCCATCAATCCCTTGCGCTTTGATTTTTTTGCATTTGGATTTGCAGTGTGTTCGCGGCTGGTTGACAAATTACGGTAAGCAAAAGCGGATAGTCTGATAGAATGCAGTACCTATGTACAAACCTGCTCTGGTCATCTTGGAGGTGAAAATAAGAACCGAATGCCATTTTTCTTTTATTTTTCTTTGGTTTAGTGGGGAAGGACCTAATGGAAATTAAATAGCCTGAGATAATTCAAGTAATTGCTCGTCATAACTTTCCCGGCAGTCCAGGTCATAAATTAAAACCAATTCTGTTTAGAGGCTTCCGCCATGCATCTTCGGTGGCAGTGCCGGGGAATCGCTAGCGAGAGCCAGCGCTGGAGAGACTGGCTCGGCCTCTGGGGGCCCTCACCCTTTCCTGCCCGAGGAACAGTGCAGGTGCCTGTTCGTCTCCCAGGAGTCTGGGAACTCAGGCGAGGGATCTGTCCTGTTTGAGTTTGCTAATCCTCACGGGGGCCCTGCGGCTCTCTCCCCGTATGCCTGCCCCGTCCCTCCCCCTGGCTTCTTTCTGAGTTTGCTGTGAGGGTCAGCTTTTATCCAGGACAGTCTTTAAATCCAGCCCCAGCCTTGGCGGCCCGGGCTGCCCCGCCAGGCTGCCAAGCAGGGCTGGCACTGTGGCTTCCGCAGACTTGAGCTGAATCGAGCCTCTGTCTCTTGGCTCCCCGGCACTTTTCATTCTGCCTGGCTTTTATCCTGGGTAGTAAAGTGGGTCGTTATTTTTCTGAGTGGCCTCCAGACGCTCATTAGCTTTCACTCCGAATGCCGGCGCGCAGAAGCGGCAGCCCTGCCAGCCCAGCCAGAGCGAGGCTCCTTTGGCAGAGCGGGAGCCATTGTGGCGAGTTCCTCACCACCGCATGCCTGCGGGGGCTCCCAGGCCCCCCACAGCAGGCGGCATTGCCGGCTTGGGACCCACCTGTAGGACAAAGCAGCCAGATGACAACACTTAGGGGCTGGACCGCAAGCCCCAACCCCACCTCCTGAGACAGCCAAGCACGCTCCTTGGACGGGAGCCCCTGCAAGAGCCAGCAGGAGTGCTTCTGCAAGAAGGGAGCCCGGATCTTGGGCTTCAGGAATTTCTCGTCGCTGGCTCCACTCCCCTTTGCCAGTGCCCTTCAGCACCCACTGGGACAGAGAAATAAGTGCCCTCTGGTGGGCGTGGCAGCATGGCTTCCCTGTGAGCTGCCGGGAGGCTCAGCCAGGCTGGGAAGCAGCTTGGGAATTCCCATCATTTGGATGCCCTCCTGAGTTGGACGGGTATGATTTCCAACAGCTCCTATGAGGTATTGGCTTTTAGTAGCCCCATTTTGCAAATGGCAATACCGAGTCCCAGGGAGGGAAAGCAATTTGCATGGTTAAGATGTTGAGGAGCCAGCATGGGACCCTGTGCAGTTTGATGGTAGAGGCCACATGACTCTAAGTGGCTTCTCCAGCGGTGAGAACCCTGAGTAACCACGCGGTGCGCTTGCGTCTTGCACAGCATCCCGTTTTCCCACTGCCTGTCTTACCAGAAGGCGTCACTGCCTTCTGGCCAGTTAGGTCTTCATGGCGTTTGATATGGTTGCCTATATTAGGGATTTGCTTTTAGTCACAGCTTCCAGAGTCTACTCCCAGGAAGATTTCCGAGCAGGGCACGGCTCTTTCCCTGGGTGCTTCAGCCACCTTGGTGATGTTGAGAGGGGTTGCACAGTGGAGCAGCTGTTGAGCTGAGATTCTGCAGTGCATAGTGTGGCCGTCTTGAAAGGGAATTCCATCGTGAGATACAGTGTTGCAAAACGCTGTGGGAGTCAATGTCCTTAAATACACAAGGGAACACACAGAAGGAAACCAGCCCTGTGGCATGGCCCCCTGGGATGCTTTCCACGGTTTTCTCTGCTGGAGTCGGCAGGTTTTGTTTTTGCTTGAAAACCGTGATCAAACTGGAGGGACGCTAAGCAGCACTCGAAGCTGAAGCCAAGCCGCTGTGGAGCTGGGAAGGGTGTGATGGGAATGTGCCATTGTTCCTATAGTCACACATCCACGAGAAGCATAGACTTGACCGTGAATTTAATAACATGGAGGGGCACTTGGCACAGGGATTCAGACACCAGCGGGGATGCCTGTGTCCCACATAGGAGCGCCTGGGTTGGAGTCCAGACTCTGCTTCTGATCCAGCCTCCCGCTAATGCGCATCCTGGGAGGCAGCAGGTGATGGCTCATTGGAAGACCCAGATGGAGCTTTGGGGCATCTGGGGAGTGAACCAATGGATGGAAGAAGCTCACGCACTCGCTCTCCCTGCCTTCACATAAAAAGTAAATAAAACTTCAAAAAAATTCAAAATACACCAGAGTTAACTGCAGTGAAGTTTTACTCTTTTTCCAGCTTAGTCTTAAGTCGGATACCCATCGATTTCATTTGCACACACATTTTGGGACAGAATTGTACTGATCTAAACAGTGAGCGGAAGTAAACCACTCTTACTGTGTTAAAAAAAAAAAAAAAGCTCCTCAACAGGACATGCTGCTAATAAAATAACTCCACATCTCTGACATGATGAAAGTTTCAAATTAGCTTTTAAACTTGCAATTTGTACATTCAATTCACTTTTTAAACGGCTGGATTAAGTCTCCCTCTGTACTTAGCAGGCACAGACATGTAAACTTTCTCTAGCAGTGGTAAGCAGCCCCGGTGGGTAAATTTCACATCCTCCATAGGAGGAGCAGGGGCTGAGATGCCCCAACACTGCGTCATAAAGGATGCTGACCGAGCCCGGCACTGTCCTGACTGTACCTGCACAGTGCCTGCCTTTCAGTGTGTCCTTGGCATCCAGGTCGCTTATCTCCCAGGACAAGCAAGGGAGCTGGGGTCCTGAAGAGTCAGGTTTTCAACCTAAGGGCTCACCTATGGGTGTTGGTAAGGCTGGATTGGGGTCTTGACCACCGCCCCCTACTCCTTGCCTTTCTGATTCTGGCGTGTCAGGAAGCAGTGAGCTGTGCCTGAGACACTTCTCAGACAATGTGCTGATCTTCAGGAAAACGGCCCAAATCAGTGTTTCCTCAAAAACTCCTAGGCTGGATGCCAAACTCGACAATTATCCCATTGTTCAGCTGTCTCCCACCCCCTGCCTGCAATTGCCTTCCAAATCCATAAGGGCGAATCGCACAGATGCGACTGTGTTTGTTGGTGCTCGGCAGTTTTGGCAGAGCCCACGGGCTCTCCCGGCCACCAGGTGGTGGGAGCTGGGGGTGGGGACGAGAATGCCTGCTTGGCCGATCGGACCCCCACAGCGTAGGAAGCCTGTCCTCCAGAGGCGGGCATGGGGAAATGGCGTTGGTTTTTAAAATTTGTGTTTATTTTATTTGACAGGCAGAGAGACAGATGGAGCAAGATCTTCCCTCTGCTGGTTCACTCCCCAAATGCCTGATACAAGCAGGGCTGGGCCAGGCTGAAGCCAGAAGCCCAGAACTCAATCTGGATTTTGAGCCTTCCCCTGCTGCCCTCCAGGGTGTGCACGTGCAGGAGGCTGTATGCTAAGGAGAGTAGCCGGGACTTGAACTTGGCACTCTGGTACGGATGTGGGCATCTAAAGTGTGTCTTAACCGCTGCACTGTGTGGCCTACTTGAAATGGCATTTTTGGTGGGACATCCTTGTCTGCTACCCTTGTGTGTGCTTTCACTTTTCAGAGAAACTCTCTGATTCTCTGACTCAGTGCTCCTTCAAAACCGGGCCTTTGCACAGGTCACCCTCTGTAGTTGGCTGGTGGGCTGAGTCCCCATTTCATCTGCTGATGTTGGGCTCAGATGCGCCTGCTCCAGGTGCATAACCAGCGTGGGAGGGAACCAGCTTTGGCCAGGCGCTGGGCTGGGCACTGTGCATCTGGGACCTTGTTGGACTTCCCAAGTCCCTGTGACACAAAGCCACTGTCCTCATTTTATGGACATGGAAACAAGGGGCACAGCTGGTGAGGGGCAGAGCCCAGAGTCTAGCCCTGTCTGCCCCGGAGCTCTGCCAAGCTCTGCAGTCACCTGTGCTCTGCGGACTGAGCCCGGGCAGTCGGGGATGTGGCCTTTACTGCTTGCATGTGACTGGGTGAGCCTTGAAGAGCTGGCACTGTTCATCTGTGGGCAGCAAGGAGGGCTGACGCAGGACACTGGTCGTTCCGATCCTGGTGGGTGGAGCTGGCTTCCTGGCTCTTGGGTGCCTCTCGTACCTTATGGCAATGAGGCCACAGTTCAGTTGGGAGAGTGAGAGTCTGCAGTCTTAGCTGATAGCTGCTTCATCACCCAGATCACGGGGAAAAGGAACCAGTGCTGAGTCCCGGTTGGGCCCTGGAGCTGCGGCCAGCCTGCAGTGTCTTCTCCCTGGGGCTCCTCTCTCACCTGTGGCCAGCACTGGGTGCCCCCGCCGGTTCTCCTCAGCACTGCAGCATCCAGGCTCCCTGGGTCACGGGTCGCTCCCCGCTGTGCTGGGCTCCGATACCCACTTTCTTTGTTTCTTCAACTCTCTCCTGCACTTCACGCAGAAGCACTTTGGACTGCGTTACGAATGCGGTAACGCTAGAACAACATTTGTGGAATTCAGTCAAGCCATTTTAGAGAGCGTACAGGATTGTTTTTATTTAAAAGGAAATCAAGAAAAAAGGTGTTGCATTTTTTCTTACTAGGTCTATCATAGAGATGTAAACTCTGTAAATACCAAGTAAAGTAGGGGAGACAGACCACACAACTATAATGAAAGGCCCGCCCTGTCTCTCTCATTCACATCTCTCAGTCCCCAGTCATCTCCTTGCTATCTGTCCATCATGCTCCCTCCCCTCAAAGACTGTCTGGGCAGGCCTGGGGTTGGGGGGGCGATCCGCTGTTTTCCTACAAGCAGTGATACGGAAGCGCTCACAGCCAGGAGTGATTGACATGAGCGGTCCCGGTACTTCTCGTGCTCGCTCATGACCCCAGGCCGCAGAGCGGTGCTGGAGTTAAAGCCGAAGCATGCCACTGCATTAAAATCACAGACTGAATTCCAGGGAGGATACAGCACGTACAAGTCAACTGTGTTGAAACAGTTGTGTGTGTCCTAACACAGCTTCCTGTGGGCATGGCTCTTCCAAGGACAAAAGCCAGCCCCTGCAGAGGGTGTGCCCGCTAGCTCCAGGATCAGGCTCCTGCCTCTCCGCTTCATGATCGTGCTTGGCTCCTTTCAAATCAGCCCCTCCAGTATGGCATCCAGAGATTCAAAATGCGTGGCTGGCAGGAGACCACCCCGTCATCCCTCCCTGGAGGAAGCCAGACAGGTCCCCGCTGGAGCGAGGCTTTGAACTTCCAGGGTGCTGTAAGCTCCTGCCTGAAACCGCTCTGAAAACCCAGTGCTTCCCTGGAGCACTGGGAACGTCTTCTTCATAAGTACTCGGAACGGTTGGCCTGCGGTGTTGGACCCACAGTCCCTTATCTCGCCTCTGGGGGTGGGATATGTTCTTAGAGGAAGCTATTTGGATGTAACAGTTTTATGGCACATACGTGTCACAGCTGCATGTGGGCCCTAGCGGTACTCAAAGACCAAGTCACGAACACACAGACTGCGAAGTCGGGGCTTATCACCAGTGAGGCCAAAAACCTGTGGTGCAGAGTTTTTGTCATTTCCGAGTTGTTTATGTCTGGGCACTGGGGGACTATTTCTCCACGTTCCGGAGCTGCCTGTGACCTGCGTGGACTAATAAAGCTGCTCAAACGTGAGGCAGGGCGTGGGACTGGGCGAGTCTCACCTGGCGCTCGTCTACGATTTGTACGCTTTGAGGATGTTTGCGTGTGGTTGGGACAATCCCCACACAACGGGCAGGGCAGAGGTGACACAGGGAAGGAATTCGAGGCCCAGAGCGGTTGGGTGACATCGGGATTCTGTAGCCTCGCCGGGGCGGAATTCAGGCTTTCTGGTGCTTGGTCCCGTGCTGCACAGCAGGACGGCTGGCCACGCAGCGCACTTCACAAACGGAGCAGGGTGGAAGCGCGTGTGTTGTTTTTGTCTCGTGATTTGATAAGAAACCGGGAGCTCTGGGAGGGAGACGAGCCTGCGCTTGCCCATGTGGGAGGAAGGCTGAGCATGTAGGGGAAACGGGTGGAATTAGAAAATACGCTCAGTCTCCAGGAAAAATGGGTCTGGAGGTTTCTATTTCCTGGAAAAGTTAAAAAAAAAATAGCAACAGAACCCAGACGTGGAACCCTCCGTCTCACCTCACTCTGCAGGATGAGGTCTGCAATAGGGAAGTGGTGGTCATGGGAGCCCAGGAGAAACACCCCTCCAACCTGTCCCCATCTGGGGCTCCTCAGTGGCCCTCCTCGCCACTGCCCAGCACCGACCCACCTCCCCTTCCAGAATGTTCCAGCATCCCCTACTAGTCCAACAGCCACGAGGCCTCTTCTGAGTCTTGCCTGCTCCTGGGAAGATGGCCCCGGAGCCTGCTGGCCGCGTGGGCCATCCCACAGCAGGCCATGTCTTACAGGAGGGGTCATTACTGCTGCGGGCACCGGGGGCAGGTGAGGATCCCAGGCCCAGCCGACTCGACAGTTCCTGCAGGGGGTGAGCAGCCCCCCCCCGGGCCGTGCTCAGGTGCAGCCAGAGCTGGGGCTGCCGCTCTTTCCTCTGACCCAGGTTTTCCGGGGACCACCAGCTCCGCTCCGGGTGTCCTGACCCGGATCTGGGGCCTCGCCAGGCCTCCTAGGACTGTCACAGAATTTCTCGGGGACTAGAACGGCCTCTGCCTTTTCCATGTTGTGACCGTGCGTTCCTTTTGTCCCAGTGCCAGGACTACCGGGGCGGCTGGCTGGCGGGAGACCTGTGCCAGGACCTGTGTGAGGTGGGGACGCTGCGGTACCAGCGCTGCCTGTACTACGAGCGCGGCAAGAAGGTGCTGCAGGCCGAGTGGCGTGGCCGGCCCGTGGTCCTCAAGTCCGAGAGGGAGGCGTTCACCAGCTTCCCGCCCCTCAGCCTGCTGGAGGAGGGGCCCCAGGGCCGCCCGGGGGAGGCCGAGCTCCTTCTGATGGTGGCCGGCGAGGTCAGGCACGCCCTGGGCCTGGAGCTGCCCAGCGGCAGCCTGGGGCCACTGTGGCCAGGCTGGCGGGGTGTGGGCTGGCGGCGGCAGGTGGCCAGCGCGTGGGCCCTGCTACAGCAGGAGGAGTACGTGTACCTGAGCCTGCTGCAGGGCCTGAGCCGCCACGTGCCGCCCGTGCTGGGCTCCTGCGGCCACTTCTACGCCGTGGAGCACCTGGCTGCAGGCAGCCCCCGGCACCAGGCGCTCTTCCCGCTGGAGCAGAAGCAGGCCCGGGCCCGGGCCCAAGCGGTCAGCCGCATCGCACTCAGCTTCCTGGACATGGTGGGCCATTTTGACCACGACTTCTCCCACCGCCTGCACCTCTGTGACATCAAGCCCGAGAACTTTGCCATCAGGAGGGACCTCACGGTAGGTGGCCCTGGGCGGTGGATTTGTAGGGTGGAGGACAGAGTCTGGGTCTGGGGCCAGGGTGGGGCTGGCTCTCAGGGACCCGGCATCAGAAAGCAAAGTCCTGTGCCTGTGGCCCCAGCTCCCGCCTCTCTGCCAGCCTCTTCCTCGCTGGGGGTCAGGAAGGAACGCAAGGAGCAGACGCATCTCACATCTCCCAGGGGGGCGCTGGGCTGAGAGGAGCCTGTGGCAGGAGGCCGAGGCCCGGCACGCCAGGACTCTCCTCCGAGGGCTGTTCTGCTTCCTTCTGAGAAGCTGTGTGGCCTCTGGGGGGTAATTGCAGAGCAAGCGGACCTGGGCCAGCGCGGGCAGTGAGGCTATGTCCCTCACCTGCATCCCGCATCTGCCACTGGGTCTGAGTTCTCCAGGGGTGGCAGGTGGACATCTGGGGAACCACGACAGCGGGAGGCTACGTGGTGACAGCAGCAGGTGCTCCCCTGGCACGCCTGCTGATCTCCGGTGCTAGAGCGCGCAGTGGGAGGACGGCACGGGGAGTGGAGCCGTCCCAGGGAGAACGGAACAGTGCTCGTTGGTCGTCCTGCTCTGACGCTGGTGGGGGGCGATGAGATGACATGAGCGAGGTCATTCCCTGCAGGAAGACGTTTATGATTCTTGCAGGTCCTACCGTTTGTTGTGTCACTGCCCTTACTGGAGTTGGATGGTTAGGCCTGCAAGAGCCACAGTTCATGTTAGGCCACATACTAAAAATTAAAACACAAACCTGGTTCTCCCCAGGCAATGAGAGGGAAACTATCAGAGATGGAAGAGAGAAATTGCAAGGGGCTGAAATCCTGGCTTGGAGCCCAGGGAAGGCTGGGGAGTTTGGCATGAACTGTAGAAAGATAGGCCTTGTAGTTGCAATAAGTTAGGAAGACAATAGCATTGTTACCCTTGTTCAATTTTAGTGTATTAACCAGGGTCAGTAATGAAATTGGCTATTTATTTTGGCTGAATAATGAGATAGGAAAGATTGATAAATCTGTTTGCTGTGCTTGGATCAGTAATTGGACAGAGTCCCATAAATAAAGGTTTTATGTTCTTCATATTCATTACTCTGCACATATTTTAGAGTAAATTATCCCCCTCCCTTCTCTGTTTTACTAAATAATCCCTGAGAAATTTTATGGCCTCCAGCATCAATCCTGAATGAAAAACAGGAACCAAAACCCAAGCCGGGGCCTGGAATTGGTGAGCAGACGGACACTGGCTTGAGACACTCCCGAAGGGCACGGGAGAGCTGCTGTTTGGACGCTGGCCTGTGAGGGCTTGTGCAATGCCCCAGCTCCGTCAGCCCCAGCAGGCCTGCAGGCAGCTGTTTCCTACCTCCAAGCTATCACACGCTCTGTTTGGGTGGGCTCCAGGTTTCTGGCTCAGGTTTGAGCTCATCTTTTTTTGTCGGATCCAGGTGGCGGAGGGAAATGCATGTCATTTTGAAGTCATTCTTTTTTCTGATTTCAAAGTCTCTTTGGTTTGAAGCCAGGAAGATCCGCCTGAAGCTCCAGGGGTCACCAGGTGCTCCTGCTGCCGGTGGGGCTAGCTGTTGGTCCTGCAGGGTCAGGGACCCTCCATGTCCATCCTGATCTGAGAAGTGGCCCTGCCATTGCCCACCTCTTGTCTGAGCCGGCAGCCTCGGCCACAGACGGGCCATGCCCAGAGCGCCAGCTTACGGCCGCCATAACCCCAGCAGAGCTCTGCTCAATTCACTTCCGTTTAGTCCTCACACCCTCGGGGACACGTGTTCTTCATCTCACGGCTTCACAGAACCGACCCTTGGGGGTCAGGGACCAAAGGGACACAGCGACCCAGGGGAAATGTGTCTTTAGGACGCTCCAGGGAGTCTTCTAAAGCTGACAAAATGAGACAGGGTGAAAAGTGATAATGGCGGTTATAGTTCCAGATCCTGGGCTTTGTGTAGTGATGGAGGGGTTCCTTTTGCATTTAAAGTCTTGTGACGTGATCAGTGACACACAACGTGTTGTGTCTGTGTGAGAGAGAGGACCCCTGAAGCAGGTCCCCCGGGCCTGGCCTGGGCTCTCCTGCTCCATCTGCCGGGCTCTGGGGCCACCGGGTGTGGACAGAAGCACCCTCAGCCGTGGGAACAGGAGCCGCCCAGCAGGCTCCCCGTGCCTAGCCCGCAGGTGTCGTTTTGACGGCTGTGTGCGGCTTTGATTACAGGTGGTGGCTATAGATGTGGACATGGCCTTTTTTGAACCTAAAATGAAGGAAATCCTTGAACAAAATTGCACTGGCGATGAAGACTGTAATTTCTTTGACTGTTTTTCAAAGTGTGATCTGCAAGTGAACAAGTGTGGAGCACACCGGGTCAATAGCAACCTACAAGTAAGTGGTAGCCGGGCTTGGGACCGGGGGTGGCTGTGGATCTCTCCCTCCTGGGGGGGGTGGCTGTGGATCTCTCCCTCTGGGGGGGGGGCTGTGGATCTCTCCCTCCGGGGGGGTGGCTGTGGATCTTCCCCCCTGAGGGGGGGGGGGGACTTCCCCCTTCCCCCCCCTGGGGGGGGGGGTTTGTCTTTCTCCTCTG